ATCTCATCTCATCTCATCTCATCTCATCTCATCTCATCTCATCTCATCGCAGCGCATCTTATTGAGATATTTAATTGTCTATTAATCCTGATTGATTATTGTCTCGAAACAGTATATTCCTCAGTCTACCAATCTCCTGGTCCCTATGGTTTGCATCTACTAGACTTAGGCCCCATAGTATCATAGACTTCACAACTGTTCTGGAACTTATCATGCACACTATGTACTCCAGACAAGGTGCATTCCTATAGATCTTCCTGCTAACATGACCAGGTTGCGAAAATGAGGTCAAACAACTTCTATACAACGAAAAGAAACTGTGACCATACAAAGGGTCACAACATCTTGGTCTTCATACCTTCGATCAAAATCACTGTTTGGTTGTCTGAAATCTGCCTGCTTTAGATACTTTAATTCCCGTTCTCGATTATTCGAGGGTTTAAAATAAACGATGCCCACGTTTCTGACCATGGGCATGTGCATACACATGCTAGCGCCTGTGAATCTCTCGCTGCCTAGGCTCGATTATCCTCACCCTCATCCCCACCCACATTGTGTCTCATTCTTTAGGGCCCTGTGTCCGGCTTAAGCCATAAAATGGCCAATTTCTCTTTTCTTTTCTTGAGTCGCTAAAACCACACTCCTCCTGGGGTACTTTGATGAAGTTCCTGTGTGTCTATTGGCTGGTATTCCCCGTGGTCAAACCAGTCGACTCCACTTCAGATAAAGCTAGGAAAAATACATACAGCAACTACGCGCACAAACTGGTGACCTATATCTGGCCAACCGATACCTATAACCTTTAATTTCATATCCTACATCTCACAGGTGAGCCCACTGTATGCATTTTTGGCCAATTCAACCTTTGACCCTACTCACTGCAGTCATCTTTTCTTGACTTCCTTTTATCCCCTCTAAGCCGCTCCTTGGTGATCTCTCTTCGGGTTATTAAAGAGTTCTTCTGGGTCCAAGTGTTTCTTCTTTTTGATGTCTTCGCTGAATCTCCAAATCTTTTCAGGCAGTACGCGAAATTATCGCTGATACTTCTCTTTTCAAATCTTCTGTTCATCAAACTTATTTGAAAGAGGATGTCGGAAATGGAAGATCAGGAAGCTATGGATATCCTCTTTCAAGAAAACCTGATGAACAGAAGATCGGAACAGGGAGAAGTCAGCGATAATTTCGCGTACTGTCTGAACAGACTTGGAGATTTAGTGAATACTTCATGCGAGGTCATAATATCCTTTCACCCCGGATGAGAATACCGTCTTTGAGGAAAATTTTTACTTAAATTCACTGAAGGAGTGAGGATTAACCTAGCCATCAATGGTGACCGGAACTCTTAATTAAGATTTGCATATAGTTTAGAAACCTAATTTATATGAATATACATGAATTAACCTTATTGGTGCCAGTCTCACTATACAATTGTAGTTTAAGAGAGACCGGGCTTGCTTTAAATGTCATGTTTCCACTGCGCCCCACTGTCGCAGGGTGTATGCATGATGGAATAGCAATGTGAGGCCAGGTAACGAACACGACTTGGTTTCGAATCCCATTGGTGGTGCTAGTTGGAGTAGAGCATGCATCCATTTTCCACCTGAAATGTTCAAGAGTCTCTATAGTTCTTTTCTGTCTATTCCGGTTCATATAATGACGTTATTAAAGCAGATTGGTGTGTGGAAATGGGGTATTTCAATACATAATATCATTTTTGAGTATTCAGACCTGTATCTTCTGCTCTTTAGGCCATTGGGCTAGTGTGCTGCTGGTACTGGTACTGCTTCGCTGCTTCAATTTTTCGGCGGGTGGGTGGGCGAGTCGTTGTGGGCGCCAGTTTATCTGCATGGACGAGGGCCACTTTGGTATGCTTTTTGCTAACAGCCTGCAAGGCCGGATTCGCCATGGCTTCGTTTCGATTCCCTTGGGGCATGTTTGTAAATGAAGTGAGCCGTTGTCTCTTCATCTATCTCATTTCGGTCTGTTTCTCCCACTCTCCTAACTCTGATTCGGCACCAGCTGTACCGCCTTTTCAGCCTCCACCTCTACATACCTTGCCCTAATGACCTCGGTGACCTCGATGCCATGGAAATCTATTATGCATTTGGCCTTCTCGACTGACTGCTTTAGCAACAGTAAAAAAAATGCTAAATTGCCTCTAGCGGAAGACTTGCACTTCTCTTCGTGATTTAACCTCATATTGGCATTGTATGCACAGCTTATGAATGTCTACTGATAGCCGACACCCACACCTACGGAAAAATAAATCAAACGAAGCCATCTGAATCATACTTGGAACATGATTGCCGTAAAGATAGTGAGATTCGAGGGTGAATCAGCAAACCCTGAAGCAATAAGTAGACACCTGGTCATCCACACAACTCAGTCGGTAGGTATAAACTGATTTAATCGAGACGGCCGAGTCATTTTGGCCGGTGGCGGGTGAATTTCGACTTGGAGTTGCCGGCCTTCCCAAGCCATTCAATCTTCCCAGCGGACGAATGCGCCTAGCACTGTTACCTAAGGAGAGACAAATATCCCGAAAAAATAACTGCCTCATACCGATTCGAGGCTCTTTCTTAGTTTTCCCATATTTTGATCAGGGACAATTCAATTGTCACAGACGTCTCCCAGCGAAATTGTCCAATTCAGCCAACTTTTCAACAAATAGCTAAATACTGATACTACTACTATAGTTACTCACTAAAACAATTTAATGTTTCCCTTCTTTGTCAAATAACTAGAAATTATGATGACTTTCAAGTTCGATCTAATGCATACAGTTTAATGTTTTAGATAAAATAGACGGTGAAAATAGTCTCATCTAAATATTCAAATAAAGTAGACCTTTGAAAAAACTAGCAAATTGTAATAAGAGTTTTAGTCAACCTAGATCGTATAGGTGATGGATGACTGATATGTGATTTTTCCCACAATAATATGAGTAAGCCTCAAGTTATATTTAACTTTCACATTGTCCTGCTCTCCAAAAGGTATCTCATAAGCTGCCCGAAGTTTTGATGAGTCTA